TTTCCCCTTTAAAATGAGAGCAAACATAACTCTCTATCACATACTCCTACCACGTGTGTCTGCAGAGTTTCACAGCATTGAAACCCAGCAGGGGTCTCCAGATCCCCCAAGGCCAGCTCATCCTGCTGAAATCCCTCCTCCTCAAAGCCTAGAAGCTCCTGAATTTCCATTACTTTATCAGTGTTCCCTGTTAATGACATAGCTTAATTTGCATACCAGTAGTACCTTTTCACCACAGGTAAGAAATTGAAATGTTCAAGGTCAATTAACTGCGAATGTTTCAAGTTGGTTAGTGCAGCTGTAACTGTGAACTAGGTTGGTGCTGCAGAGAGAGGGCGGTCAGTGAGGGATTCCTCCCTCTCCTGATGAGAATTCATGATCCAATTTTCACTCACTGCAATCGCCCCTGCTTCTTGTTGCTCTCCCTGCCTCTCTCCTGTGTTCACTTTTTAAATACTGGTCTATAAAGGTGTGTCAAGTGGCAGAGAAATATTATTAAATTCAGGCTTAAAAAATGCGTTAACAATCCTGGCGATAGCCTATTACAATTATCTAGACAGAGACGAAGTAACATGATCAGCATTTCCTCAGTAGTGTGAACTGATGGCAAAGCTAAGTATAGGAATTCCATGTTAAGATTCACCCATTCCTTTGCAAAAATGATAACAGTACAGAGATACACACTTGTGGAAATGAAAGGACTGAGAAGGTTTAGAGCAGATCCTAGAAGGACAGCTTCAGCTTTCTAAATTTTGGTGGGTCCTGGGGCAGGATACATATGGCAGTAGATGTAATTGTTGCCTGCCTTTAGGTAGATTCTGACTCAAATCTTGACTCTAAGGAGAGCAGAACTGCCCCAGAGGGTTCAAATCACTTGTCTTTTAGTCAGCAGTCAAGTATTTAACCCCTGTACAACCACAGCTCCTTATATATACATTTTGTTGTTGTTTATTATAATTGACTTAACTGAGACTGATAGCTACCATATGAACAATGGACCCTGCCCTATCCTGTGTGATCCTGACCATATCTAACATACATAAATCCAGTTATAGTCACTGTGTCAGTCCATTTTCTTGAGGATCTTCTTGTCTTTTGCTGACCCTCCACTTTTCTAAGCAGGCTGTTCTTTTCCAAGAACTGAGCCATTCTAGCAACATGCCCAAAGTATGTGAGGCAGAGTTTCACTCTCCTTGCCTCCACATAGTCCTTTGTTGATCAGAGGGAAGCATGTGGACCTTGATGCCTGTGGCTACTTCCTGGGCTCCCTCTGCCTCCATGAAGTCAAAATCAGTTGCTGTTGAGTGGATTCCAGTCCATGTGATCCATGTAGGTTGAGTGGATTCCAGTCCATGTGATCCCATGTGGGTTGAGTGAATTCCAGTCCATGTGATCCCATGT